AAGGAAGGAAGGAAGGAAGGAAGGAAGGAAGGAAGGAAGGAAGGAAGAGAAAGGAAGGGTGAGAGGAAGGAAGGGTGAGAAAGGAAGGAAAGAAGAGAGGAAGGGTGAGAAAGGAAGGAAGAGGAAGGAAGGGTGAGAAGAAAGAAGGGTGAGAAAGGAAGGAAGAAGGAAGGAAGGAAGGGTGAGAAAGGAAGGAAGAGAGGAAGGGTGAGAAAGGAAGGAAGGGTGAGAAAGGAAGAGAGGAAGGGTGAGAAAGGAAGGAAGAAGAAGGAAGGAAGGGTGAGAAAGGAAGGGTGAGAGGAAGGAAGAAAGAGAGGAAGGGTGAGGAAGGAAGATAGGTAGGTTGCCTGCTTCATTGGCAGAGTCTCTGGACTGTTTTGCTTTGGTCTGATTCTGAAAGGTGAGAAAAAGAACATTGTTATGGGAAGGAAGAAAAGAAGGAGAGAGAAAAGAGAGAGAGAGAGAAAGAAAGAGTTGCTTCTTCATTAATCAGCTACTTCGTTTTGTCCAAATAAATGGTGCTCATTTTGTTTTGCTTGCATTGCATATTAAAATCTGCCCCCCAAGAGCCCTGTTCTTCTTCTGAGGCCACCTCCTTTAGGACACACACACACACACACCCGCTTTGATGGCTGAGCGTAGCTTCCAAGGACCGCACCTACAGAGCACGTCCTGCACACAGCCGAGCAAATAATACTAGCCCAGAGATGAGGAGGAGGCCCAACCGAGGTTTTCTTCTATCCTTGAAGGGAGCAGAGAGGAGTCCGGGAAGGAGGTGTGGATGGATTCTCCATAATCCTTGAGTGCAGAACAATAACCACGGATGGAAACTTGTACAGAGAGAAAGATCTCCTCAACATAAGGGAGCTTTCTGACTGAGGCAGCCACTGAGCGGTGGGACAGCCTGGATCTTTGAAATCGTCAGGGCTCCATCCTTCTCAAGACTCAAAAGTTTCTCGTTTCCCTAGCTCGACTTGCACAGTCGGTGCAACCAGGAACTGGATGAGATTTGCGCCAGTTTGCAAAGAGGGACTTCTCCCGATGCTACAGCCCCCATCGCCTCTTAGAGGATTCTTGGCTTTTTATTGTTCGTTATTCCTTTGTTGTTTTGTCTTGCTGCTGGTTAAAATAAAATCCAAACTCCTCTTTTTTTTTAAAAAAAGGTCCCCTTTGTGATAAGGTTTCTTCCTCTTTCTAGGAGGTGCTGATGATGTTAGACAATTACGTGCGGGATTTCAAGGCCTTGATAGATTGGATTCAGTTGCAGGAGAAGTTGGAGAAGGCTGATGCTCAAAGCAGGTAATTGGGAAAGATCTCCCTCCCTCCCTCTCCCAGCCTCCTTTCTCTCCCTCCCTCCCTCCCTCCCTCCCTGTTTTTCATCTCCCTTCCCCTTCCTCCCTTCC